GCCTGATTCACTTTGTCAGTGATGATTTCCTTATTCTTCTCAAAGAGGGCCAACCCTAGGACAAATCAGCAGCTGAAATTTGTAGACAAATACTAGAATTTGCATTCTAGCTGAAGGAAGACCTTGCTCATAAAATCCAGGATTTACAAAGTTCAAATAGGTAGTGATGTAACCCACTCCCTTCCCTTTGAAGGCAAGTTCAGGGTTCAAGTGGAGCATACACAGTATAATGAAAATGCCCTAAGGACAACATATATGAACTTCCAGCCAGCCACATAGCAGCTTCCATCACCAGTACTGGGAAATAACCAAGCACGACATAGACTACTTCAGCTTGGGCTGGTTATAAAACACAAAGTGATGTATTCTACTCCAAAGCGGTGTCTTCTAATTTGAAAAAAGCAAGAACCATCCAGAGGCAGAGAATAGGTAAGGAAAAGGAGCCAAGGAGAAAGCCAAATTAGGATAAGACATTTTGAATCTGTAGTGCTGGGGGTGGGACCAGGGCCTGTGTATGCTTGCCAAGTACCCCAAGTTTGCACTGTACCCTCAGCTAGTCAGTTTTGGCTTCTGAGTCACAGAAGCAGATCTGGGAGTGCTGGGAACCACTCCACTTCAGAGGAGAGCAAGTGCTCCAACCCTGGGGAGTCTCATGGGTCCTCCCAAGGTTCTCTGATTTTATAAACTTGAGTGAACACAACTAAGTTAGGGCCCTACAAAACTCTTGACACCTACAAAGCAATGCCAAGTCAGTGAATCCCGAGTGTCCTCAGACAGCCAGATCCTAGTCTTTTTCTGTTTTGTTCACAGCTGACTTCTGTGGGCACTATCAATGGGAGCCCTTGATCTGTCTTCCAACAGCAGTGGGTGGATGCAGGGAAAGCGTGTGGGAGGGAGACCAGTTTCTTCCTTCCCTGTCCTCGATAACACACCCCTTTAAACAATCATCCAAACTCTCCTCCTTCTGCTGTGCCGTTTGTTTCCTGCCAGAAGCATGAATGGCCGCTATCAAGTCAACAGCAACCACCATTGTGGACTATCAGAAGTCTGTCATCAAAGAGAGGCGATGAGCAGTTCATATTGGCATGGGTCTGAAGAGTGATGACTTTTCCCAAGTTTATTTCAAGAGCAGCTACACAGTGGGTCAACAACTGGGCATTTCATTGGCAGGTTAAAATTCAACAGGGCCTGGAGACATAGCTCAGTGGTTAACACAGACTGCTCGTGCCGAAGACCTTAGTTCAGTCCCCAGCACCTGTGTGCAGTGGCTCACCACCATCTAAAACTCCAGCTTCGGGGAATCTAATGCTGAATCTCCGAGACTCCATGGACACTTGCACTCACACATTACATATGCAGATCCATATACATTCGTAGATTTACCTATAATTAAAAAATAAAACTAGTGCCTTCTTCAGCTACACATACACTAAAATTAGATCGACACAGAGAGGTTAGCATGACCCCTGCACAAGGATAACATGCACATTCGTAAAGCATTCCATATTTAAAACAAAACAAAATTAAAAAAACAAAAACAAAAGCAACAAAAAACTAATCTTAAACTAAACCACCATCACCACTACCAACAGCAAAAACCACCTTGAAAGCACATTATTTTATGGCTAAAAATATAGCATGGCTGAGCAGTATATTTTGGTTCACTAATGCTCATTTCTTTGTTGCAAATACATAAAGACTAGAAACTAAAGTACATTTTGGAAATCTGCAGCACAAAAATAGCTCTTCTAGGACTCTGCAGACTACAAAAGGTTCGTCTCCATCCCTCACCACCATCCGGCTCGCTGTAATGTTCAATTTTGGTTTAAAGAGATGGCTGAATGACAAATTGCCTCGCAACAGGTCTTCTGTGAAATACGGGAGAAGGCTGCTGACAGAGTGAGTTAAAAACTGCAGTGTTCGCAATCTGGAAAACATCTGCCCTGCCCAGAGTGGTAAACTACCACCCTGCAGAAAATGGTCTGTGACAAAGCAGAGCCCAAGAGGCTGTTTGGGAAGTGATGGGACAAGTCAAGGCTATTCAGGCACAGAACCCAACAATGTGCCCTTTGGCAAATTGTTGCAAGCCGAGGTGCCGGAGGACAAACCAAAGCCACGGGCCAGCTATAACCACTCCAAATGGAGCCACGTGGGCACTAGCAAAAGCCATCCTGCTGCTTAGGAGCTGAGCTTCTTTGGTAGAGGAGAGACCTTTACATAAGGAGAAATAGGTCACACAGCAGGTGCCAGTGGGGGAGAACACTGACGAAACATGTCCTTTTCAGTTCAGTTTCTGACAAGTTCCCACCTCACCCAAAGCGAGTGACACAGTGACGGGAACCGTCAGAACCAGGGCTCACTGTGGTTCTGCCTTTCTCATTTGATCCCCTCACTATATAGTATGTTTCCATAGGGTGTTGTCTAGCTCATTCAGAGTCTGAAGCCTAGAAGCTCAAGGCACACTGGTTTCAGTGAGTGACAGTCTTCCTCAGGTCAGAAGTCCCTGGGATATGAACAATAAACAGGAGGAGTGAGAGGTGAGGCCTTGCTCATACTACTTTTTGTCCTGAAAAAAGGAAAAAAAAAAAAAAAAAAAAACAAAAACTCTAAGAATCCTCTAGGCACACGCACCTGATCCTGCCCAGGCAACTCCCAGAATTCTAAGTAGCTGTATTAGATTGAACTTAATTTTATATTCTATTCTAGAGTGAAAATTCACAGCTAAAACAATCGTCAGCAAACTTGGAGTGTGGGTATTTTAGAAAGCATAACCAATGCCAGTATTTTCTGCTTAAAACTTACACTATTTCTTTTAGACTGACTGAGTCAAAACTAAAACAAAAATTGTTGGTTGGAAAATGAGAAATCCCATGATAATTCTGAAATTTCCTTAGCTTTGACCAAACTAGAGAATGAAAGAACATTCCCTTGAAATTCTATCCTATTGAGATGGAGAAGGAAAATGACTCATTTCCAATCTGCCCCACACCATACAGCTCATTGCAGGATGAAGTTACTACAATTTTTTCTTATACTGTGTGTGTGTGTGTGTGTGTGTGTGTGTGTGTGTGTGTGTGTGTGTGTGTGTATATACACACATACCATGGCATGTATGTGGAGGTCAGAACACAACTGGCAGGAGTTCTTCCACCACGTGGATACCAGGAATGGAAACTTGTGGCAAGAGCCTTTCCCTCTCTGAGATGCCTTCTGAGCTCAAGAGTTCTTAAAAGCTGTCTGTCTGTCTGTCTGTCTGTCTATCTATCTATCTATCTCCACATATGCTCACAGGTACAAAAACACACAATTTAGAAGGCTGACTGTAGGTTGATACGTGGGTCTACTTCGTTTTAGCTATGTGACCTTGGACAAGGTATTAAACATCTCTGAATCTCAGCTTTCTTTTTTTTTTTTTTTTTTAAAGATTTATTTATTTATTTATTTATTATTTATTATGTTTACAGTGTTCTGCCTGCATGTGTTCCTGCAGGCCAGAAGAGGGCACCAGGTCTCATTATAGATGGTTGTGAGCCACCATGTGGTTGCTGGGAATTGAACTCAGGACCTCTGGAAGAACAGTCAGTGCTCTTAACCTCTGAGCCATCTCTCCAGCCCTCAGCTTTCTTATGTATGGGGGAAAAAAGCCTCCTTACTCAGAGGTTATAGAATTACTTACTATATTTTTTGGCTTATTCTAATGACAATAAATGGCTAATGTATTACTATTTAATATTGTTATTCTCTAGTCTACAATTATACAGTATAGAGAAAGGTTCTTTATTCTGGCACTGGCATTGTTAATATCATTCTTTACATGGCTATTCTTGGTATCTTAGGGCACCTAATAGCACCCCTGGCCTCTACCTAATATATGCCAGTAACATTCTTCACCCATGACCACAATGATAACCAAAACACCTGCAGCCTTTGCCAAGTGTTCTTGGGTGGCAAACTTGCCCCTGGTTGAGGAACACTGGTGTAGAACAACGATCAATGGTCCTAGATGAAGGAGACTTGGTTTCTGTTAACAATTGGTGAACGTGGGTGGGTCCTTTCACTGTTCTGAGCCTTGCTTCCTCAGAGGGTAAAATAGAACTGGAGTGCTGTGGGGTAGGTCAGGCACAGAGTGCTTGCCCAGCCTGTCTGAGGCCCTGGGTTCGATGCTGAGGCCCTAGGAAAGGAAAGGAGACAGAGTGGGAGGGAACAGTGCTGGAGAGTCCTCCTTTGTCTTTTATGCTGTTTTGGGAGGATGAAACAAAAGCATTTTGGGTGCACTATAGCAGTTACAAAGTAGGGTCCCCTTGTGAATGCTCTCTCAGAGGTGGGCTGCTCAAGGGCTTCTGAGAAGCCTTGGTATTTGCTGGCTTTCTTCTGACTTCCACACTAGGGAGCCACTGCCTCTCAGCAGCTTTTTATTGGTTGCATGTCAAGGATTCCCTGTTCTTTTAATCAGTGTATATGTGGTTTGGCTTGAAGAGTTCAAGAGGTACTGTGTTCTTCCAAAATTAAAAACAAACAACAACAACAAAACTTTAAACAAAAAAAAAAAATCCTAAGTAGCAAAAACAGTCTACTTCTAGATTTAATGTTCATCTAAATTTACTGTTCATATGACAAGAACTAACCAGTACCAAAAATTGTGACTAAGCTATCTGCAAGTTGATATCAAGAAAGAAATACTCTGGGTGGTAGTGGTGCACGCCTTTAATCTCACCACTCGGGGTCAGGGGCAGAAGCAGGTGGATCTCTGTGAGTTCAAGGTCAGCCTGGTCTACAGAGTGAGTTCCAGGACAGCCAGGGCTACACAGAGAAACCCTGCCTCAAAAAAACCTAAAGAAAAAAAGAGATACACTGTGCCCTTCCAGTATCACTAACTAATGCCACGAAATAATGAGACACCACAATCAGCAAAGTCTAGAAGTAGCATGGTGGAGCCCAGAGATGGAGCCTCTTGTGGTTCTTGCATTTTTAAAAAATTATATTTGTCATAATACTTTTAGATTAGTGATGGAGGATGTCTGTCAGAAGAGCACAACCTTCGGGTTGTCAGAGCTGCAAGCCAGAGACGAAGGTTTCGGGTCCAGCTCTGTCAGTGTCTGGCTGTGGGATACAGGTGAGTCCTTTGACCCCTCTGAACCTCAGTGGCACACACCAATACCACTTACTCCATATCCTGTTATGAGCTTTAAATGGGGATGAGGTCACTGAGCAGCAGGCACCCTAAAGGCACACAGTAGGTGCTCTACAGATATGAGCCATCTGAAATATCATAACGGCACTTGAGTCCTTGAATCAGATCATAAACACATTTTGCAGTTTGGGGGCAAGTGACTTTCCTACTTCTGAACAGCATTAGCTGGATGCTAAAGACCAGACATTCATGAATGTCCGGGTTGGTTGTGCATACTGCAAAATTCCCAGCACTCAAGAGATGAGGTAGGGAATTTCACCATTTCAAAGCCAGCATGGACTACATAGCAAGACCCTGTCTTAAAAACAGAAAAGAATTCATCTAAAGGCATTATTCATCCAGATGGAACAAACGATGTATTTCTTATTAACAGTGTTTGGTCCAGGTCCTACCAAAATTCCTTTTCTGTGATTTTCTTCCTCTGTGCAAAAAGGCACCAAAGCCCAAAATTCACCCTCGAGTCTTCTCTTGTATCCCACATCTGACCCACCAGTGACCCTATTATTGCTAGTTTCCAAATACACCCTGAACCTGCCCACAGGCCACTGCCTCCTCCGCCTCTCTTCCTGATAAAGTTGTTCTGTTTCAACATGTTGAGATGTCAGCCTTCTGCTCAGAATGTTTGCCCATGCTGTCAGCATCAGGCTTCCATCCCAGGAAGCCTCCAGCTCACCAGCCTGCTGGGTCTGTTACCATTGGGACCTCGTCTATTCCTCCTCCTTGCTCTGGGACCCACTCCTTGTTCTTTGGGGATGTGCTAGGCCACTCTCAGGGCCTGCCTTTCCTCCTTCCCTGATAAGTGGGTTTACAATTAATGGCTTGGACTATCATCCATTCAGACACCCAGCTCCTTATGACCGTTATCTGTTTTCTGGGACCACTCATTTTGTTTGGTCCTACTCTGCAGCTGTGGCTCTGGCTTTCTCAAGCAGTGACATCCCAGCTCGCCCAGTCCATCTGGACATGAATACTAGGACCACAAAGTTGAATCAGCTCCCAAATAGCTCCAAACTCTAGGTTTTTCTCACCAACATTTTCATCCCCTCTCTTACTCTATAATCATTCAGTAGAAGTGAACAAACTGACAGAAACTCCGTTTTTCTTCCAGAAATCTCTACCCTTCTGTACCGTTAGTAGTCAAGACAAAGATCACAGTGTAGTAGACTGCCCTGGGCGACTGAGCAATGACTGCAGATTCATCCTGCTTCATGGGTGATTTCAGTGAGACGGAAGAGTTTTTCTCACCGCTTCCGAGACACCTGCGTGCCAAGAAGGGAACCCGTGTCTGTGGACATCCTGGGAAAACACCCTTTGCTACAGGAATGACTGGGATTGGCTACCTGACACGTGCCTCTGGAAAGCAGTCACCACAGGGCAAAGACTAAAGGTACTCCTCAAGAGGGGCACTGGTGCCTGTAGAGACAGCCAGGCTTCTGTATGATGGAGATGGTCTGTAATCGCGAGTACGATCAACCAAATTCACTCTCCTAGGTCTATATTTGAAAGGTGGCAGAATACAGTAGAGCCAGTGACTTTTAATTACCGCATGCTGGGATGTCACACAGGTCAGACTTAAAGTTTTCATCCAAGGTAAAGCACCAGGGAGCTTCCTTCTGGTTGCCAGGGTTACGGCAGTAGGAGTGGCCTCCATTGAGCTCCGGAAAGCGCAGGGCCGTGAAGCTGTGTGTGTGGGGGTACTGAGAATTCCACGGCTGGCACTGGCGTCCTGACTTGGTCACGCTGACCGTTCCCCGGTAGTCCACACCTGTGCTGTTGTAGCACTTGTGATCTGAAAAACATGAAAGAAAAGCCCAGACTGCTAGTCAGAAACAGAGGGGACTTGTCCTCCTTGGCAGCAGTTCGGGTGTGAGGACCCTGCTGTTCCAGGTCTCCCTGCCATCGGGGAGGGGTGGGCCATCCTCCCTGTTTGCTGGGCTTGGACTTGGCTTGCCTTGTATTCACATTCCTGGGAGGATTTAAAGCTTATGCTTGGGAAGAAAATGAGCCTGGCAGTGTTTTTAATGGGGAATACCAAAGAAATGGGTGTGGGGAGGGACCTGGGCACAGAAGGAGTTTCTTATGGTTCATGAGTGAGTGTCTCAAGGAAGATTCCAGGTAACCGTTTTCTTCCATTCCCACTGGAGATCATAGAAACTGTGTGATCAAAGAATTTAGGGGTAACTCACAGAACGTGTCATTTAGAGGACTAGAGGGGTGCATTCTGTGTTTCAAGTAGAGTTGGGGCTGTCTGCGCTGATGGAATGGGCTGCCTGCCTGTGGGAAAGCAGGTTCTGGTATATGGTCCTTCAGGCCTAAGACACTATCAAATTGCCACAAAATGGCATTAACTAGCAAGAAAACTAATTCTAGATGAAAAGGAGATGGGCAATGGGATAGCCTATTGTCTGGAGTGGTCAGAGACTAGGGGAAGGGAGCGCACCTTCACAGGTATTTATCAAGTGTGGTACAGTACACACAGTATGAAACAGAACAAGGCACACTGGATACATTCCCAATCGTAGAGCTTTACAGCTTTCCTCCTACTTTTTACAACATGCCTATCATCCCCAAAGCGAACTCCAAATCCATCAGGCAGTCCCTCCCCCCACCACAGCCTCAGAACCTTGAATCTGTTTCATGTCTCAACGAATCTGTCCATTCTGGACATTTCATATAACTGGGATCATGCAGTGGTTATGTGCTTAGCATTATTCTTTCAAGTTTCATGCAGTTATGAAATACGTCTGTATCTCATTCCTTTTAGGGATGATATTTCAATGTGTGCATATACCATCATGTGTTTTCATAATAAAAGGTTATTTTGGGGCAGGGCCTCTAGTATCCAAGGGTGGATTTGAACTCACAACCTCACAGTGTAGGGAAGGATGACTTCGAACTTCTGATCCTCATGATCCCATCTCGAGTGCTGGGATAACTGACATACATCACCCAGTATACGTAATGCTGGGAACGAACCCAGGGCTTTGTGCATGCTGACCTCACTCTACCAACTGACCCGCATCCTCAGCCTCTTTTGTGAGTAATTCTATCATGAACATTCCTTTAAAAAGCATTTATTTTTATTTAATGTGTGTGTGTGTTGCCTGCATGTATATGTGTGTACAACATTCATGTCTGGTACTTATGGAGCCAGAAGAGAACATTGGATCCCTCAGAACTGGAGTTAAAGATAGTTATGAGCTGCCATGTGGGTGCTGGGAACTGAACCCGGGTCCTCTGCAAGAGCAGCAAGCAAGTGCTCTTAACTGCTGATCATCTCTCCAGTATTGTGAACACACGTCTATGAGTTTACATTTGAAGACCTGTTCCTAATTCTTCTGATGGAGCACTCAGGAGTGGAATTGCTGGGTCATCTGGTAATTCTGTGTTGAAGTTATTGAGGGAACCAGACCCTGTATTCTTCAGTTATCTTCATGAAACTTCTCTAAGGCAATTCTGTCTAACCTACCACAGAAGGCTCAGGCATGGTATTCAGCTCCCTGGAAGGTCAGTGATCAGTGGGCACAGTCCCGACATGAACAGTTACTGTGTGTCAGAGCCCCCACTTACTTTTGTTTATAGGATCCGCCATGGGGATGCCGATCCGTATGCAGTTTGCAGCTTCTGGGCTCTCCGGCTGGGGAAGATCCTCACAGTTTGGCAACTTCAGCCTCATCAAAATCATGGGATTTGATCTGGCAAAAATGTACTCTGTCTGACACAGGACATTTTCCAGGACTTCACATTCATCACGACACAAGTCGCGGGGCTTGGGGACAGATGAGGTTTCGTCACAGTATGGGAAGGCGTAGTGGCACAGGGAAGGGATGGCGAACTGGGAACACTTATCAGATAAATGGCTCGAGGTGCCAATCATGGTGAAGGCAGCTGAAAAGCAAACAGAGCTATTAACTCCCAAGGGCCAGGGTTTATCTCTGCCTTGATCCAGTCAACAGATACCAGGGAGAAACACACTGCGGGGAATCCGCTGGGCTCAAGCCCACAAGGCCAAGGCGAGGAGATTCATTTCAGATGTCTAAGCAGCTCACTTTCACTGGCTTGAAAAAATCATTTTGACTACAAAGTTAGAAAAACAGGATTGAATTACATATGTACCATTTCCTAATAAAAAGAATTAATTGGGTTAAAGTACAATATATTTTCCTTTTTCCCCCTACAAAGCAATAGAACTTTGTGTTTCACCCCATCCTCTTTATTAGTTTTGTGAGGTTCTAAGACATCCGAGAGCCCCAGCTCAGAGCTTGTTTCAGGCAGGGCTTGAGCTGAGCATAGGACAGTGTTGCCAGGAGTTGCTGGGTGGCTTTGGACGACTTGCTTCATTTCATTGTGGCTTGAATACTTTCTATTCCATCTTCGGAAAATGAGGCAATGCACCGGAAGACCACAATTCAATTGTCCCAGAATGCATCATAGGATCTCAGGGGTTTGTCAGCCTAACCTCGGGCATCTATGTCAAAAGGGCACCAGCCCTGAAGGCTGCCCATGAGGCTGTTTACACTGTTTCCCAGAGTTCATTCCTAGGGACAGTAAGCTGATAGCGTATTAACAGCTTCTGAGAAGCAAGGGCCACTGAGGCCAAATGAGTCTGGGAAATGTTGGGTCAAACAAAATGAAACTATAATACTTTCCAGCAAGCCAATACTCACTGAACATATCCAAAAGAGGGTTATTATACACCGATTACCAAATATTTATAGGAGAACAGCATTTATTCAATGTGTATTCTTATTTTAAACTTTGTCCACATGCTCTTGTACTGGGTGGAAACCCTGAGTTCAGCATCTTCTCCCTGTTAGGCCTATGTCTGTTATTGTTCTCAAAACCCCAAGGGCTTCCACAGAGGCAACTTCACCTTCCTGTCCTTGTTTCTGGTTCCACAGTTCCCCTGTCAAGCTGCTCGGAGAACAGTTTCTGGCCTTTTCTCTGTCTCATCATGGATTTCTCCATGTCTCTCTTAAATCCTCACATTTAAGATAACAATTACGCATGCCCTTCAGAGGAACTTGGAGGATACAGTTATACTAAAATCAATTTGCCATTCATCTGAAATTCAGATGTAACTGGGTGCCCATGTCTGTATTTGCTAAATTTGGCAGCTTTTGTGAGAATCTCATGGAGGTCATTTTAACACATTGTCAAGGGCACAGCCACTGCACTCCTGAAAGGGGCATGAGACGATTGTGACCATCATAACTAGGTGCAAAATGGTGGATGGTAGGCTGAGCCTCCCTCCCTCGGGTGTTAGGAAGTCCTTCACTGTGGTGTTCATGCAGAGCAGCAGTTTCCTACAGTCTCTGTATCAACAGCTCTGGGATGAATGTTCTAGTCCAAGCTCACTCCTTCTTAGTCTACATCACATGGCTTCCAAATGCAAGCAAGCTCTGCGGAGGCAGAGCCATACCTGGCTCATTCATACTCTCCTATCCCCAGTGTCCAGTCTGGTCCCAGCACACTGAAAGCACTCAGTAATATTTATTGAGTGTTTGCATGAATGTGAGACTTCTTGAAGCTTCCTTTTCCTCCAAGACTAACCTCTAATAAATTATTTTAATGTAAATTCCAGAGCATAGACATCACATCTCATGCCTCTTTATGGTTCCACTCCCAACCCCCATGCTTAGCCTAATCCTCTGTCAGGAAAGGAGCCCAGAAAAACTTCTGGCGAGAAAAATAGTTATGTAAGTATCATTTCTTTGATGTTACCTACCTGTGATCTGATTTTCTATTTCCCCCTGCATATGCAAAGACTCCATATACACAGTGCGGTTGCCAATAAATCGTGCACATGCAATGCCTCTGTATGGTTGACAGAATCCATCTTCTTCATACTCATCTCTAAAAACAAAGCACAGGGATTCTTAGCACAGAACTACCTAGGCACACCATCCATTCTGGTTGCGCAATGCCCTAAATGGCCACGAGGGGGCGCAGTTGGGCACCATACAGTGAAGACCACACTTGGGGATTTTTTTTTTTTTTTTTTAAATTCAGCTCTCAAAACATCCCTTAAAACATCTGTTGGTCACGTTGGTCAAGTTTCCTACACCCCCAGAAAATCATCCTGAAGCGCAAAATCATTCTTAAATATGGGAAAGAACTTTTATTTTTGCAGCTGGTGGTGGGCTGGAAGATGATGTAGCCCTGAGAGGGAAGAGGAAGCAAGCTGGAAATCTGGGCACATGCTCTACAGTTTTTTTTTTTCCTAAGTGCAGATTATTTCTGCTCCATTTGCTACAAAGGCGTGGACGCATCAGCCACAAGATTCACGACAACTGACATGTCAATTAGGAGATGCTCAGGGTAGGCAGCTGATGCAGCTGCGAGTTAATGGGGACCCTTGAGTGTCACGGCTCCTCACTGGGTCAG